TGTCCTTGAGCAAGATATAAAAAATGGCCCCCAGTGCGTCCATTAATGTATGAATACGTCACACAGCTCATAGGAGGAGCAGAAACTGCCTCACTGTAGGAGCCAGCCTCGAGTGGTCATCGAGGGAACTGCAGGTTTTGGTTTTCCACAGCATTTTAAACTCTGACGGTTGCTGCTTGATTTTATATTCCAGGTTAACTCATCAAAACCAGCCATGGAAAAAGAAAAAGAAAATAATTGTGGCCTATTGAACATTAAAACAGACAAAAGAATTCATTTAATCGTCTCCACATCCTCTGATATTCTCCTAATCTGCTCTTAATTTGCTGTACCGCCTCATTAAGCCCCTCTGAGTTCTTCATTCTGTCTTATTCATATATTTTTCTACTTATTAAAAGAAGTCATTTCCTTGATAACATCTTGAACGTGATCATAATTAATGTATTTCTTTTTGAACAAATTCATCACATGACATCTTTCAGCTCCTCGCTGTTTCCATATATTCGATGAGTTCTATTTTCATCTGTGTTGCTCTTTCTTCAGCTCGGTGAAGACAGTTGGTGCTCTGGCTTTCGTCTCAGCTGTCCTCTGAAACCAGCAACAGCACAGCGGGACCTGGAGACGCCGTGGACTGAATGTGTGGATGTTTCAGTGGCGCTTTCATGCTGCCGTCGTCTCGCAGAAAGACTCACATCATCGATTTGACCGGTTGTGTCCACCCTGCTGTGAGAGGGAGGCTACATTAACTGATCAGCAGGGACCACGAGAGGCCGGAGGAGGTCAAACTGGTCAATACCTTCGACCTCTCCCTCTCTGTCACAAGGAATTTTAATTTACATCACATTCACTGGGCCTGACGGTGTGTGCAGAGGAAAGGTCACCGTTTGATTCCAATCAAGAGCTGAGAGATGTGCTCAGAAATATGATCGCACATTTTTGAACACTTAAACTGCTTACTGCAGTTTAAGCACTGTAGATTAAAAAGAAAAGAAATAACTGCAGCAACACAATAAAAGTTGGAAAAAACATTGACTGTATATAAAAGACGGCATGGCCATAGCAACGTCCACATTTGAAGCATTTGAAGCAGAGGGAACAGAATTTATTCCATTTGACAGACTAGTTGCACAATATGGGATCAACAAGACAAGATTTTTAGAATATCAACAAATTAAATCCATAGTAAAAAAAAAATTTAACCTCAGTCAAGTTGAATTACAAACACCACCAAGTGCGGCACATTTTCTTACTCTTAAATCCCCCAAATTATTATCTAAAATATACAGAACACTTTCTAAATTAGATGAATCAATATCACTTCCTACTGCAAAGTGGGAAGCAGATTTATCAGTCAGCTTAGACCAAAACTTCTGGTCTCAGATTTGCTTAAAAACCTTTAAATTAATTAAAAATCCCAGTCTGCAATTAATACAATACAAAATACTACATAGAGTGCACTATACAGGTCAACGGATGTTCAAGATGGGCTTTACATCTTCCAACAACTGCTCACACTGTCAAGGCAATACACCAGACAATTACATCCACGCTCTTTGGTTCTGTCCACCAGTGCAAAAGTTTTGGCGCGAGATATGTGAAGACTTATCAAAATGTCTGAAATGTAACATTCCAACCTCCCCCTTAGTGTGTTTACTGGGCAGCTTAGATAATGTCACTTCAGAAAAGAATATCGCCCATATGATCTTCACTGCCCTATGCATAGCCAAGAAAACTGTCCTCATGAACTGGAAAAATAAAAACAATCTTAATTCTAACCAATATAGAAATTATCTATTAGATTACATTAGTCTTGATACAGCCTCTGCCACCACATCAGATCAATCGCTCTGGGCTCCTTTGATCAGCTCCATCACCTAGTGGGGGTGGGGGGGTCATAATTTGGTCCCGCCTTCACTGTTGTGATTGGTGTGGGGGTAGGGACAGGCTTAGGGCGTCGGGGGGTTCACCGGAGGCATCTTCCTTGGGGGGCTCAACCCGGGGTAGCGGTCATGTCCGGTTAGGGGCTCTGTTGGCTCTCAGGTGACTGTTTCCTCGCGGCTGCGTGCAGCGGGGCTAGGGGAGGGTCTGTGCTGACGGATGTGGGTTACTGACCTGGTAGCCTGGCTGCCCCTGGGTGGGTCCGGGATGGGCGTGGGGTTCTGGGGGCGCTCCGTCTCTGGGCGGGGGCCCGGGCCGGGCCTTGGGGGCTTGGGTCCTGGTTGGTGTGTTGCCGGGGTTGTGGGCGGGTGGGTGCATGGGGGCCCAGCCCTGGAGCAGGGTGCCGCCGGTGCGTCGAGCCACCTGGGGGGCTCTTAAACTGGTGGGGGAGGTTGTCACACGTTGCAGGAGCTTTCCTCTCTTCAGGAACTCTCTGCAGGAGGGGGAGATACAGGAGAGGTGGAGGAAGATCTCAGCCTGGGTGTTTATTGTCTTATGTAGTCTGGAAGATGAGTGGATGGTGGGGTGGGTGCAGTTTTCTCTGTGGTGGGGTTGGGTGGACTGTCCCGGGCTCTGTGGGGCCGGGGGGCGCTGCTGCACTGGGCCCGGACTGGATGGGCCTGGGCCCCCTTTCCCTGGCGGGTCGCGGAGTATGGGGGTGCCTACTGGGGTCAGCGGGGGAGCTGGCCCCAGGGAGGGGTTACCTGCCCCTCCCTTCCTTCCCTCCCCATCTCCAGCTGCCTCCCTCTTCCCGCTCCACCACAACCACCCACACATGCAGGGCCTTGGAGTAGGGGTATGTCACCAGGGTGCAGAGGAGGCTACCCCCCCCCCCCCCCCCCCTCTGTCCCCTTCTGGCTGCCTCTGCCTCAATTTTATCCCACAACTTAGACATTCACATTACTCACACTCTCATTACACATACATATAGGATCTTGAGGGTGGGCACGATACACGGAGTCCAAAGTACCATCAGGGTGTACACCTCACCCCTGGCGTCGTTGCCCACCTCTCAATTTTAAATACACTTAGACATTGAGGGCTAGCAGGAGGGACCATGCGCTTACCTGCTGCTCTCTGGCAGGTAGCTCCAAGCCCTCCTGGGTTTTAAATGCACCTTAGAACACATATGCATCAACATTACAATGAGCGGGTGGAGGGAGGTTTGGAGTCTTCTCCCACCCCCGTTCTCAGCGGCCTGCTGGAGCGGGGGGGCTAGGAGAAGGAGTTGGCCGTCCGACTGCGGTCTGGAGTGTGGGGCCTCCCTGCTGCTGCGGAGTCGGGGTGGTCTGCCTCTCCCCACCGCAGGGAAAAGGGTAACACCACCTGGGTCTGGGTGCAGTTCCCCCCTCCAGGGGCAAGGGTACCTAGACCCGGTTTGTAGAGTACGCTTGGGGAGTGTGATCGTGTGTACAGCGTCTCTTTATGTCTGTCTCCACGTTGGTTGAGTGTGGAGTGAGTGCATATGAGAGCATGAGGGTGGGAATGGATGTTTGTATCTGTGTGTGCCTGTATGTCTGTGTCTATATGTCAGGTTGGGTGTCAGGCGCCACCTCTCTGGGGACATCTCAGGTCCTCCAAGGTTTGGAGGCCTATCTCCACCCACCACCACTTCCCCTGCCAGTGGCGGACTCCCTCAGGTGTCGGTGCGTTGGTGGTTCTTTGTGTCTGGGGGTGGGCGTCCAGGTACACACCGGCTCACTCCTTGGCGGCTGCTTATCGGGGCCTGGAGCCTGGGGCTCGCTTGGGCCCCTTCGGCCGGCGGAGCTCATGGGCGCGTCACTGCAACTCCCCCTGGCTTCTGCTCCGCGGCTGCTGGGTGAGCCCTCATCTGGGACTCTCCTCAGCTCTTACTGGAACAGTGGCGCGGCTGCCCCTCTGTTGGTCTTCCATGGTCTCTTGTGTTCTGGGGGCCTCTGGATGTCTGGAGTTTTGATCTCCTCCATACCCGCTTCACACCCCGGAGGACGGGGCGGTGGCCCCCCCACACCCTCTAGCAGGTCGTTACATGGAGAAACCTTTGGAATACAAGCGCGCTGATCCACACAGGTGTGCACATGGATGTTGACTGCTCGTAGACCCAAATTACACCTTTCTTGGCCGCTACTTCGAAGCACATTGTGCGCTGTCTGTCCTGCGTGCTGCACAACAACATTGAATATTAAGTATTTACTGCTGTTTACACTTAGCTAGATTAATGCGATGGTGTTGTGTTTAGTATGTTGCTTTGTTTTCTTTTTTTGCTTGTTTTCTATTCTTCCCTCAACAGGTGATCCAGGAGATTCTTACTTTTTTTCTCCCCCCCTTTCTCACTGTCCCTCTCCCCTTCTGTTTTTCCTTTCCTTCCTCTTTCTTTCTCCCTTTCCTATCCCTCACTCATGTCTGTCCCGTCTGTAACATCTGAAAATAAAATATAATAAATAATAAAAACAAAGATCGACCAAATGGACCAATACGGCAATGCCACGATGATCCATTTGGCAAAGTAAATCCATTGGGTATCCTTGTTGGTCTTCAGACAACAATTCTGATGGCTAAAGAACCAAATGGGACAGGCAAAAAAAAAAAAAAGTTGGAAAAAACATTGACTGTATATAAAAGACGGCATGGCCATAGCAACGTCCACATTTGAAGCATTTTAATTTTTTGGATGATGCATGGATCAGAGACCACTTTCAATTTCGTTGTACCTGTGACAATGACAATAAAGACATTCTATTTTATTCTATTCTATTTTGACTGCAAATGTCTTTATTTTTGGAGCCAAATCCTTTGCAGAGGTCTGGTGAGGTGAGGTGAGGCCTCAGCAGACTGCCAGCTGCTACTCCCGCCTATGTCGAACCTTGAGTCAATAAAGAGTTACACAGAGGGTAAAGAACATAAAGAGATGTACAGTTGTACTTTTTTGTGGCAGGCTGTAAACATGTTTATTTCTGATGAACGTTTTAACATGGACGTCTGTGGGGACTGACTCACTTCTAGATTCAACCTCGAGTGGCCATTAGAGGAACTGCACCTCCATTTTCAGGCCACTGTAAAAAAAATCACTTCAGAGATGTGAGGACAATTTAAAAAATCAAGTTTATTGTTTATAAAAGAACCTTTTGCCTTTTATACTTTCAGCACTGCAGCTGATGACTGGAAGTCACAATATATGCACACACACACACACACACACACACACTCGTTTTCACATCGTACTGAGGACATTAATTGAAATAATGTTTTCTCTTGCAGCTTAACCAAACCATCAAACATGAACTAACGCTGAGCCTAAACCTAACCATAGCCTAACTGTGACCCTGACACTAAAACCACACTTTGAGCCTCAAACATGTCTGTAAACTCATGGGGAGTGACTGTTGGTCCCCACAAGTATAGTGGCATGGCAAACTTTCTGTCCTCACAAAGATGTCTAAACACGTACACACACCTCTGAACCTGGACTGCTTTTTCAGCAAGCAGTACGGCAGAGCAGAGTCTGTGTAATCACTGTGAGAGCTGTGAGGATAATGAAGTTTTAAAAGGCAGCGAAGAGAATTATTTTGAAATTATCTTGGAATCCGTCATTTGAAGCATTTGTCAAAATCTGTGGAGATCTACTGATAATAATCTCTTTTATGGATCTACAAGGCTAAGAAATCTCCTCTGTGTTCGTCCGACCATAAACATGAGCTGGATAAACCTCCCTCACAGGTACACCGTCCTCCATCACTGCTCGTGCAAAACATCCTGACTGAGCTGAAACTGTAAATGAACTGTCAGTGAAACAGGTTAAAAATAACTGTCTTTTTTATCCATTGTTTCTTTTTAGTTTCATGAAATGTAAATTTCATATTAAAGCTGTTAAAGGTTATGAAAATGACCAAAAATGATAAGAGTCACGTTATGAGCTCCACGTGTAATGTAAGCACTGCCATCTGCTGGTGAAATGTGCACACTGCTACTGACCTGACCTGTTTGAGTTATTCCAGCAAAATAAATGACGCTACTGTCAACCATTCATGCCTGTGTATGACCATTTCTGCCTCTGCTAATCTTTTTCCACTAAACCTGTTTCACATGTTCTATTTTTGCCTGTTTATAAACAGCTTTTCTTATATTTCATATGAGGAAGCACTGAGCTGCACGTTTTCACCTTTTGCTGTCTTCAATGAAGTTGCTGCTATTTTCATGCAATCTGCTGTGAGACGAGTGAGAAATGTCTCCCTTTCCTTTCTCCTCTGCATCAGGTTTGCATCACAGCTGAATAAGTTTGATCCAAAATAGTTTTTATCTGTTTGGCTTTATTTTCTGACCAACGGCAGCCTTCACGAGCTAATGAGGGGTGAGGTTCGTCTACGGAAATGGCTCCTGACGCCGGGGCAGCCATAAGCACGCCCGTGCACACATCCTCCCTGCACCGAGAAACCAAACGGACTCATTTTAAAGTGATCCGTCTGACGCACTGAAAGTTTTCTCAGCTTCGTAACTGGACTCTGAGTCGTAATCCTGCTCTTTAAGCAGAGAGTGAATGAACAGATAGCAGAACAGAACCAGCACCGTCATTCCCATCAAAGCTATTCCCACGAAGATGCCGACCAGTCCTGCGGTTGACGTCTCAGGTTGGATCAGGTCCCCTGCTGCTGTAGAAAGACCCAGCATGTCATTCATGGTCATTTTAAAACTCCATTAAGAAACACGTTTGATTTTAAAGACGCTGCATTGTTAAACATGTTTGAAAGGTTTTACCGAACAGATTTACCGGTGACGTTGAGCCGGCAGCTGTCAGAGCCGTAGCCGTGATCCGTGCTCACTTTGCACACATACAGACCTGAGTCGTGAGTCGTCAGGCCAGACAGCTGAAGCGCGATTCGTCCTTCTGCGAGGGCATCGCTGTCGCTCCAGACTCGCCCTGCAAACCGTTTATCCTGAAGCTCTGAGACCTCGACGCCATCCTGCACACGATACAGGACTGAGAGCTCCTGATCGGCTATCAGGTCACAGAAGACAGAAAGCAGACTGGGCGAGCTGTTCGTTCTGGTGGTGAAGTTCCACTCCAGAGTGATGCTGTTGTTCTCCTCCGCCTGATGGAAGCTCTGTGACACCGTCACGATCAGCGATCCTGTGGAGGAGACACAACCAGAGGAGCCCACGCTGAGAACAGAAAAAAGCTTAAAGCAGTCGAATCAGTGAGTGAGGTTCTGTAAATGATGGATGATGAAGAGAAGGTTCAGACCAACCACAGACACAGGGCAGGAGGATGATGGGCAGCAGGACTCTGTCGATCATCTTCCTGTAGGAGGAGACAGAGATGAAGCAGCAGGAACACATGAAACCCAGACAACCTCTCCTCACTCAGTCCCTCAGAGCAGAGGGCCCGCTTGTGGGGGCCAAATGCATATAAATTATATCTACAGCAGAAGAATAAAAACTGCGAAATGGGGCAAAGAAAATGTTTGTTTTTTTCACAGTAGGTAAAATGTTAAATTAATTAATAAACATCACAATAATAAGTTTAGTTTATTAGCAAGATTCCTGTTAGGAATATTTTCTGAGTTACGGACTCCCAAGTTTAGGCTCAAGAGCTCGGGAGTCCAAACATATCTGCCATTTTTGAGGCTTCGTAACCTCAGATGTAGAACAGCTCAGCATCAGAACCGAAGGACAGAATCACGTTTTTTCATGAATGTTTTTATCTATAAGCAGCTGTGAGCATCAGTTTTCTGAATGAAAATGTTCTGAACAAATTCATTTAGTTTTTTAAGAAGTAAGTTTTAATAACTGTTTGTACATTTTTAACTTGTTTTTGGATTTGAAAAAATATATAAAAGCAGCAATTACTGGCATTAAACTTTCTATCATATAAAATATGTGCATTTATAAATATGAGTTTGGTAACTTGAGGGTTACATACTACGTTCTACTCGACTCTCACAGTAACACAACTAAAACTGCTGTGACTGATGGATTTCACAGCTGATGTAACAGGTTACTTCCTGAATAAGGTTCAGCAGGGAGGGGGAAATAAGAAATCAAGAAAACAACAGACAGACAGGAGCGCTTCAGTCTGCTTATGTCTTTCACTCCATAATCATGCAGATTACATAAACCATCATCAGTTAGACCGCTTCCACAGAATAGTGTCAGTTCTTATACGTTACCTTGTGTGTCTTCTGGGAACAGACCGACTCACTCTGCACAGACGCTACAACAAACCGCTGCCTCCTCCTGTCTGTTATTTCAAACCTACCCAGCAACTATTTGGTTCACCCAACTCCTGTTTCTCCTCTTCCCCACTGCTTCAGTCCCACTGCAACAACTGCAGGCCCTCTCATTTCTCATCTCGTGGAAGTTCCTGGAGTGAGAATCTATTTCTGAGGTCAAACACGTGAAGCAGCCACGCCCAGTCACCGCCAGAAGAATTCAGGCTGGGAATTCGATCCCCTCCCCGGTCACAGAGTCACAACTGATAATCACAAAGCTTTGATTTTGTTTACATTTAGAAAGAATTTTAAAAAAGCATAAGAATGTAACAGTAACGTTACAAAAGTGAGTGTGTGTGTGCGCGCGTGCGCGTGTGTGCATGTGTGTGTGTGTGTGTGTGAGTTCGGGGTCAGAGCTCTGATTACTGGTGGAGCAGATTCACTCCCACTTCTATTCCTGGTCTGAGGCTTGCTGTCCTTTGGCTTCTTTGGGCCTCGGTCAAAAAGGGTGGGGTGTTGCCCCCTCCCTACAGCTGCCTTCTCCGCTTCGTCTTCCCCTCCTTATTTCTTTGTTGGGGTGTGCACGTGGCTTTGGTTCTGCAGTCCTGTTTAAAGTACACACACTCACACACACACTCTGTTTTTCCTCATTCCTGTGCTTTTTGTTTTTGAGAAAGTTTTCTTAGAGTTGGCGATGAAGTTTTCTTTTATTTGCAAAAGTTCTGATTAAGTATGTTTTGTTTCCTTCACTCCTTCATTTTGACTCTGATGTATTTGGATAAACCGTTTATTTAATGTGCAGCTCAAAATGTTGTCTCCTAGAGGGCAGCACATCACAACTGAGGCTACTTCACACACTCCTGTGTGAGATGGGGTGGTGAGGAGATCGATGTACAAATAATGTACAAGTACTGAGGTTTTTTAAAATAAAACTATATTTGAAGTTTGTGTCCAGAATACAAAACTATCGATGTAATCAATATTCAAAAATCAAACAACAGAACATCAAACATTTATACTGTAAAGTGTTATTAGGAACAATATTTTATTATTTTATTTTATTATTTTTTATTATTTTTATTTTATTTTATTATTTTATATTTGCAGGTAAGCTAGCATAAGCTAATCTTATCAACAACAACAAAAAGCCTGGAGTTGATTTCATTCGGTCAGTGACGACCGTCTCTTTTGGCCAACCAGCTGTACAAGACAAAAAGAAAGAAATAAAAATTGCCTTTTGGATTGGTTGCTGGTTGCTAGCTGCCGTGTTTTATCAAAATTTCATTCTAGAGTGGATAACATCAGATAATTGTTGCACTCTTCAGCTGCCCTTTCTTCATCGCACCTTTCAGCAGCTGCAGTAGTCGACCAACTTCCCTTCATGCTGCCTTGATCTTGGCTTCTAGTCTCCTTCTCCTGCTCATGTATATGAGAGCCGAGCATCTCAACGATGATCAGCTGGGTGCTTTCAGTTATGGTCACACGCACGCACACGCACACACACACAGGTATATATACATTTAGCATAAAAATGAGAGTTAAAAATTCTTTGGGGTTTTGTTTCATTCTGAACTTTTAATAAAGAATCATTCAGGGGACTGAAACCTGAAAAGCGTTTTCCTCTAACCGTGTAGAAGTGCTGGATCTCTATTATTACCATTGTATAGCATATCTGCTGTGCATCTTGCCTCAGATGTCGAGTGTGATCACACTGTGTTGCTCTCCCACACAGCCTGCAGATCTGCAGCCTACACACTGATCAGGGTTCAGAGGTGGGTCTGTATTAGCAAACAGTAGAGAAGTGACGGACCAGCAGCAACTTATCTGAAAGCACGGAGGGCAGGCGAGGACGCCTCGGCCTCCGCACACACAGAGGCATGTTCACATGTACAGTACAGGTGTGCGGGGATGAAGCTACAAGCTTTTATACAACGTATTTAACCTTGAAACATTTGCAGTGTGAAGTGTTGTATGTTTTATGATGGACTGTGGCTCAGAATACTAAACCTTAACAAACCTTAACAAAAGAAAATGTTGCGTGTGTGACCTTGAGGTCTTTCATGGCCTCACAGTTCACAGAATCTGGGCTCTGTGTAGGCGGATTTCAGTTCTTTGGACTTGGACTTCACCGAGCCTCGAGTTTTAAACAGAATTATCATCAGTGTGCTTTTGGACCAAAGAGTGTTTGGTTACCATTCATGTACTACTTGGCAATAGATTGGGCCTGCACCACAATCAGAGATTAAGGTGTTACCCTGTTTTCTTTAGATTTCTGGACTCACAAAGCTGACTTCTAAAGAGCAGATTATCATGAAGGTTTATGGTGCATGGCTGACCTGCTTCACAGGTTCAGGTAATACAGTGACAGAAGTCTTCAGACCAGGCACGAAGCAAACTTGTTGGACACAGACAGTTTTTGTAGTTTTACTTTGTACATCCTCACGGGGAGTTTCAAATGTTACAGTCGAGACGGGAATGACCAGAATGTGCTGTTTGCATCAGATTCTCCGTGACCGTCTCAGCAACAGCGTGATACGTAGCCAATGTCACCAGCAGCCCTCGATGGAAGAGCTGATCCAGAAGCGACGACTGCAATGGTTTGGCCACGTCTGCCACATGAGTAACCATCGCCTGCTATGCTACCTTCTGATGCAGCAGCGCCCCGCCCACTGGAGAATCAAGTGCGATGTGCCCAAGAAGACTTGGATCGAGCAAACTGAAGACTATCTTAAACAACGATGTCTAACCCTCGAGCAAGCAAAGGTCAAGGCCAGAGATCACAAGGCCTGGAAGTGCATCGCTGACCAAGACAGAAACCCTACGGGACCCACAGTCACGACCAGCAGTTGGGGACAAAAGAAGAAGAAGAAAAGATGTCTAACAGACTGTAAACATCTTAATTTCTGCTGCAATGATGGCTGTTTGAACAGGGAGTCTGTGGGGACTGACTCAGTGTTGACTGGTAGGAGGAGCTTGGATTGTGTTACAGGTCGGCTCAGAAAGCTGCTTATTCAAAAACCTCTTTAAGTAACCAATCCAAGTTTTTTAGGGCTGAAAAAAATCACAAAAAATGTGCTGATGTGACAAAAGGTTGAAAATATTTAGAGCTGTAGTAGCTGTTCTTCTGTACGGACGGTGTATATGTACACACACGATATACACAGCTTCATTTGACATTCGCCCACGGAGTCAACCGTGCAAACATCAATCTGTACAGAAATGCATGTATACACTGAAGCTAGCCGCGGGGATAATCACAGCTCTGATGCTCCTTTGCTGCCTCTTCAAGACACTGCACACGCAAACACTGTAACGTATAAGCACATTACACACCTACACACACAACAACATAACTGTATAAATCATGGCATTACAATCCACGCACACACCTCATCCTCCCACTGATCACTCCAACTAATTATACTTTGCTGAACTCTCTGCTGTTATAAATATGTGCAGAGGAGGACAGAGAGCAGCGCCGAGTTTCTGAGGGATGAAACTGATAATGATCGTTGTTATAATAATAATGAAGCTCCTTTGAGTTCATAGTAAGCCTAGCTGGTATTCATATAAAATATATAGTAGTAGGCAAAGCTTTTGACAGGCATTCATTTCATCACAGTAAAAAAACACTTTCAGACTGATCTGAGTAACGATTTAATGTCGAGTCTTACAGAATATCTGATGTTTATCAGCGTCAGTCACCGCGACGCTGAGCTAAGCACCACCATGAGCACCGGCTGTTGTAAAGAGTCATCATGTATGAATGTTTACAGGCTGTTGTAACACTTTACACTGGGAATGTGAATCATAGCTATCTCCATAGGAGCAAAGGGAAAAGCTTTTGACTTTAAGAATTAAGTCATGAGACTGAGAGAAGACGCTGGTGTTTCTGTGAGACACAGCCAAGAGTGAAAGTGGACCATTGATTCCACATTTCAAAGCCTCGACTTTAGCGCTGCGGCCCGCCGCTCGTTGGTTTGAGACCGTGATTGGATGAGAGGACGTCAGGTTTGCTGCTGATGCTTCTAGTTTTTGTGCTGGGCTAGTTTGGCTCGTACTGGTCCTCGCTTCAGTTAAATACGCAGATACAAGAAAGATACCAATCTTGTGCTGTTTTTCTTCCCACTAGAATGTGATAATTCACAAAATGCTACTGTTATCAATCTTTTGTAAAATATGAAACGTTTGCTGGTAGAACTCCTGCAGGTCTTTGTTCAAACACCACTATGATGCCACACGTGTGCGCTCTCAGAGGACAGACTGTAGATTTACTATTGGAGAAGCTGCAGCTCTACAGAAGTCAGATTCTTTTTTTAACTTGTTTTCTCTGCGCTGACCTTGAAAACAATTTTGGAAACATGGAAACATGCAGTAAGGCTGGATCTCGGTTTGGTCCGTGTGCTCAAATCTATCGATTCCCATAGAGAAATATGTTCTTTCCAATCAGCTTTTACAGAGAGAGTAGGAGGGAGGCAGAGCAGAACACAGAGGAGGAGGAGGGTTATGAAAAGATCCAAACATGGAGGATGGAAGAGCAAAATTATGGTGAGGTGAACGGTTGTAACAACTCGTTACAGAAGAAAACAAATGTTTGCTTGTTTCCATCCAGACTACAGAGTTTCATATTGATGTTTCAGTTGGATTATTGGTTACAGTTACCCCTTTGGTGGAAAAACACATCTGGGGGCATTCTGTAAAAGAATACAAATCTTAATCTTGATGTTTTCTATTATACGTTACTGTAGCTGCACAGAAGTCATGTATGATGGTTATTAGTATTTGGCAGCAGGATATAGCTATGCACTCTACCTCAAAGACAAATGGTGATGCAATATGATATTAAACCTTAAGATGTTTAAATATTAGCATTTATTTGTGACACCAACAGTGCACCACTAAAATGCTTTCTGTGCATTAAAAAACAATGTAGACCGAATGGTAGCATGGGTGATGGAACACACCAATAGGAGGTAGAGGGGCCGGAAGCTGAGCAGGAAGGGGCTGCAGCAGGTGCAGCAGCAGAGGTGCATGCAGGACTGATTAATCGAGCCATCAGAGAGTGTCACAAAGACAGGAGGTCTCACTCTGGTGCGTTTTCACCCCCTCCTGGTTCTTAATGTTCAGCTTTGTGAGATTTTGTCCAAGTTTGGAACGAAACACAGAAAAGGTCTCAGAAGTTCAAAACATGAAGGGCTGACATGCTGGTGCCACAGTCTACGCCCTGCTGACAGCTCTAAATAAATGTTGCAACTGAGTTAAACTCAATGACTTTCAAAGGATGTCTGTGTTTGGCAAAGGACAAAAGTATTGTGTTGTCCTCCAAGTGTGCATGTCCCTGTAGGTCTAACATCACGTGAAAATTATTGATTGACCGACACCAGCTATATTACCATGGTAACCCAGCCATTCAATAATTTAATCAGCTGTGTTGGATCAAGGACACATGTAAAACCTGCAGGACAGCGTGCTCGAGGCCTGGAGTTGGACCCCCTGTGTTAGTGGATGTGAGGACAATCAAAGCAGCCAGTCAGCCAAAGCTGAAGCATTCCCTGCATTCAGTATGAGCCATTAAAAAAACCTCAGGTGCAGTTTAACACGAGTCTGTGGAGACGGACTCAGTTTGGAGTCAACCTCAAGCAGCCATCACAGGAACTGCAGGCGCGCGCGCGCCTCCGCCTTATCTTAATGCTTCCGCCTGCTTTTACGGACAGAGTGGTGCATCCTGTTGGATGTGGAGGATCTTTTGCTCCGTCTGCGGCCACAGCTCCCAGCAGCGGATCGCGGTGACAGAGAGTGTGTGTCTGTGTGTGTGAGATGGGGATTATTCTCATTTCACAGCAGAGGACAGAGGACGAGGTGAGTTATTCCCAAGTCCTTCATGAACCTTTGCGTAAAGGCGAGTGTGTGTGTGTGTGTGTGTGTGTGTGTGTGTGTGTAACGGCTGTGATGGACCGTGCGCGCGCGCGCGTATTTTCTGCCGTGTATGAATAACCGCAGACATCAGAGAGCGTCAACTTTTCATTTTGGTGATTTATTAAAAACAGTTTTGTCAGCTCTGCTGTCACGTTTGAGCGCTCGTGCTGTCATCGTTAATTAGCGCTGGCGGTTAATTGGCTTTCCTGTCACATAGCGTGAAAACAGCGCGCGCAGAATGAGACCATAACCGAAAACATTGTCCTGATCTCCGCGGAGACGCTCAGAATCTGCGATCCGCTGTATCGATCCTCTGAATCATGTCAGCAGCCTGTAGGCCTGAATCAGCCTGTACACGAGTCCAGTGAAATCCTCACTGTGATGCGTGTGAACTGACCCTGCGCTATTAAGTGTGGGCCTGTCATTCAAATTACATATGATTTTATAGATGTCGCAAACTGTGCCAGTGCAGCTTAACTGCAGCCACCGAGCTAAAGAACCTCTAATCTTCTTATCTCAGGTTATTATTTAATGTCATAACTCTTATGTGCTGCTTCTGTCATTTATTGATGTAAGGTAGGATTAGTGAAAACCGAAACGTGGTGCAGGCCTGAGGGGTCAGAGGCTGCTGCTGACCAAAATGAGAAAAAGTCGACTGTAATGAGAGATGAAAGACCACAAGGACACACGAACCAAATATGAAGAAGGATCAAAGACCACAGACTGTATATGAAGGATGGACATAGACACTGTGAATGAGGTTCTGTTTTGAGGCTAATGTGAGAAATGTGCTGCAGCTCCAGAAGGTGGGAAACACAGTAATCGCATCACATTTGTTTCCATGTTCCTACAGTTAACTCAGATTTGTGTCTGTGGGCTGTTTTTCATTGACTTTGCTGCCAGATTAGTGGTAACACTTAGATAAGCCAATAAGAGAAAGTGTTTTTGTATGTTATTGTTAGCTGGTATTTACTGGAGTTGCGGATACACATTTACATACTGTCATCATAGGCGTGACTGTTTTGCTGAACTGTTCCATTCACCGATCAGATGGTTGTACAGCATGCATCCTTAATGGCTTTAAAATGCATGAATTTGGTTCGCAAGTTTGAAATTAATTGTATTCTGAGGTAATGAACACTTAAATCCAGCTGTGATGTGTGTTTGGGATCATTGTCCTGTTGGAGCACCTAACTGTGTGATTTCATCATTCTGTCCACTTTGTCTAATGCACCAATACCACAGACAGCAAAGCCGGAGCTTGATGCTACTACCACCATGCTTGACAGTTGTACGCTCTACAATCATTCCACTCTGGAAAAGGAACAATAAAAAAAAAAGATTAAAAGCCAAAAATTACTCTGACATTAATGCACAAGTTACTGATTAATATCTCCAGCACAGTGTTTATGGTTCCTTCACTACACATAATAACAGAGACAAACATAGACTGTATATGAATGATGAACACACGTTGACGTTACCCAATGGTTAGTGAATTTTTGTTGTGAAGACTTAGTCTGAGCTGTCAATGAGAATGGGCTGCTTTATATGCCCTTCTCACGCTAATAGGAGCACCATTAGCAGCCTGAAACTAGTGATTTAGCAGAGCGGTCTCCAACCCCGGGCCATGAACCGGTACCAGTCCATGAGTCGTTTGGTAACAGGCCGCAAGAGTTGAGGCTCGGGTGTGAAATTTATGGTTTTCAGGGTTTTTATTGTGTTTTTTATATTGTTAATTTGGTTTCCCTGGGTCTTTTGCCGTGTGTTATGAATAAATCTCCTTTTTTTCGGTACAGATACTGGTTTTATTTTGTTGTATTTATCCGCGACACCTTAAAGGCGGGTCTGTGAAAATATTGTCGGACATAAACAGGTCCGTGGTGCAAAAAAGGTTGGACTGCTGATGTAGCCCATAAACTCATCAAAAAAGTGGTCACTGGGTGTGTTCAGTGCAGCAGAGGAGTCGCCCCCTGCTGGCAGAATGCAGGTTTAAGGCATTTCTACAAGTGATTTTATGCACAGTCGGCAAGAGAAACACCTGTTGTTAAATATCAGACATTTTAAAAGTGACCTGTTATTGCAGTGAGTAAATAACCACCAGATAATAAATCTAAAACAAGACCATTAACCAACAACAGGTCATAAGTAAACCATGTAGGGTTAGCTCGTGTTTTAGCCACATGCTAAATTTTAGACTTATTGTAGAAACTAAAAGATGCTAACTATCAGATCAAGGCTTTAACATGCTCTTGGCTACAATATCCCGTCAAAAGGAACAAATAGGTGAAAATTCCTTGTAAAAGAACAGATGTGAACAAGCCCTGACTCTGACATGTAACTGTCGAGCATGAGATGCTAAAGGTTAATTTAGCACACCTGGGTCCACCAGCTAAGTTTTTATTCCTTGCATTCTTATCAAGGATGGATAGATTTTATTGCACTTGGTCCTTGGACCACAGCACTGTCACGGTATTAGTAAAATATGCAGGAACTACAGAGCTGCATTCAGCCTCTAACACCCTCTGTGATATCGGTGCAATGATTCTGGTCGTGCGGTAAACCAGCGCTTGCAGCTGATGTGTTTTCTGCATGTGTCGCTGTTTGACGGTGCACATTTTCCCTCTCACCTACACATACTCTTCCTCCCTCCTTTCTCCCTCTCTACGGTTTCTACCTCCTCCATCCATCCATCCATCCATCCATCCAAGCAGCCTTTCTGGACACAACACCTCCCCCTCCTTCCTCCTCCTCTTTCTACAGCAACATAGCCGAGGATTAGAAGAAACGAATACTTCATCGGTGACATTAACCAAAGCTTCGTCTGTTCACACGCTCACGCGGACGAAGAGGGGAGATCAGCAGCAGATCCCTCGGCTGTCAGACGCAGAGGAATGATAATTAGAAAAAGATTGACTCGGCAGCAAGAAGAGGAGAGGATCCGGCCTGCAGCAGCAGCGAGGCGAGCAGAGGAATACGTGAAGACGGAGAGCGAGAACAGAAGGAGGGATTGAAGTGATCGTAATCTGGTGAAGAGGAAGAAGAAGAGAGCGAAACCTCGGAGCATCAGCAGCACTTCTTTTTTTTTTTTTTTTTTTCTGAGAGAGATGATGGTGACAGTAGCGTCAGCGAAGGAGGGGAGAGAGGGATGAGCTTGGATCAATAATCCTCCCTCCTCCTCCACCTTCATCCCTCCATCACCTCTGCAGGAGCCGCTGAAACCTGTGAGACTCCTTCTTGTTTTGTTTTTTCTGGGTGCTGCATCGTGTGTGTGTGTGTGTGTGTGTGTGTGTGTGTGTGTGTGTGTGTCAGTGAGTGTGCGCTGTCATGTGTGTCATGTGCATGTAGCTGTCGACTATATAGGCCACACAGACCATTATTGTGTGTGTAGCCTGTTTTTTAACTGTGCATATGCTGCACATGTTCGTGTGTATGTTTGCATGTGCTTCACGTGTGTGTGCGCGTGCAAGTGGAATGAGGCTGTTGTATGTGAAATGTGTGGGTTGTAAGAACTTGTGTGTTTGTGGCAAATAACATGACTGAAAGTGGCCAATTAAAATAGTCCCGCTGCTGTTAAATAAGATCGACATTATGTAAAAGATCAGAGGAAAAAGGGTTCAGGCCGCCCACACACCGATGACTTGTGTGCACATGCAGAGCAAAGAGTGAAGATTGATTTCAGTGTAAGATTTAGAACTCAGAAATAGGATTATGTCACACAGTAAATGACTGTTTTTCTGCTATTTCTTAAGCATTTCCCCATGAAACCAGTGCACAATAACAAAGATTTATGGAAATACTTAAAATTCATCAGCGATTTTAGAAACTGTAGTTTAACGAGATCAGGCTGGGCTACCGTACCTCCACCAAGGCATTTCCTCCATGGATGGATGAATGGATCCAGATTAGACCATAAAGACCATTAAAAGTTAAAATTTGAAAAAATGCCTGAATCCACTTCCCATAATTCTGTTGTACATGTACATGTACAATAACAATAAAGGTCTATTTCTGATCCTAATTTAGGCAAAGCCTCACTTCTAGAAACCTGTCGTCTATGTCAGTCTTGAACATTTTGAGATTTCTTTCTGAAAACCCAACAAATTGAACCAATCCTGTGATCTCCATGGTGAAGGCAGGAAAAATAAAATTCAGAGCAGCTGATACCATAACACCCTGATTTCATCTGATGACGCAGTGCCAGGCCGGGTTAGTTCTTGGATGAGGGGCTGCCTGGAAGTACCAGGTGTTGTGATAGGCTGGCAACCTGTGCAGGTGTACACCACCCAGCCCCACCGCTGCGCTGTGATGGATACGCTGTTCAGAAAATAAATGTAATGAATTACTTTTCTGTATGTTCATGTAGTTCACCGTCCACGAATAAAACAGGTTGTGTTTCCACTTGTTGAGACTCAACATAGTTAAAAATTCTCCTACAGCAAAGATTTATAACGAGCACGTAGGTCGTGATGGTGCGCGGCTCTTGACTTACATTGTGAAGCATCTTGTAAACCAGCGCTATATAAATTTCATTAAATTGCGTTGCAGAAACATGGAGAGCTACAATCAGGGTAATTGTGCCACCATCAGTGCTAACTGTGTATCCTCCTCCTGCTGGTTATGAGTAGGCCTGCACCACCCATACGACACGTAGCCTGCCTTGTTATTCGCAGAAAAACACAGTTTAAAACACAACAAGTGCTGCAACAGTAAAAGTAACACAAACCTTAGTGCACTCTCTTACACCAGACTCAAAATACAAACTGTATCTGGGTATTGTAAGGCGCTTGGAAAGAAAAGTGTCTCATCCGAGAAGCTTCTTCAACACACTGAAGAAGCTGAGAGGTGAAACATCTTCAAGCCACTTAAAGAAGTCCAGACGCTTTTCTTTCCAAGCTCCTTAGACGACGATGACCGGGATGACTGAGAACCTTATGTATCCAGGTTTGTTTGTTTTTTCCTCCTCCTTCTTTTTTCAGCTTCTCCCTTTACGGGTTGCCAAAGCAGATCATCTACTCATCCTATCCTCTAGCATCGTCTGTCATACCAACTCTCTGCACGACATCCATGAATCTTCCCTGTGATCCTCTTTTTCCTCCTGCCTGGCAGCTCTATCTGAAACGTCCTTTGTCCAGTATATCCAAAGTCCACCTCTGCAGCTTTCTGCTTTAATATGGTCAAACTGTATCCAGGTCTATAGTGCAGCATCTTTCCCGCGGATGGATTACCTCTCTTGTTGTGTCCACCAGACGTTTGCAAACCCATGCTTAGATGTTTTAACTGTGTAGCACCACTTGGGGCAGTGTGAGAAATATGTGGAAAGGTAATGTGGTCTCCTGTAATGTTTGTGCTGCTCATGTTTTAGCTTGGCTCCTGTGCAGAGAAAACAGACGTTATAATAAACAAAGAACGAAGAAAAGCTATCCACCGCGTGTTGTGTTTGGAGACGTGCTGCTGGTTTTTTGAAGTCACTAAATCTCTCAAGCTTCTGTGACGGTTGAGTTGCTGTATGAGGTTTGAGTCAAAGAACAAGACACATGCAGAAAATGCATCCCCAGATTTTTTTTTATAAAATGTGCTAACGGCTGTCTAAATGACTCGGGTAAAGTTAGTAGCATGCGTGCTTGTTGTTTTTGTCTGCTTCCACTTGTCTTTGCACTAGGATGATGTCGGAGTAAATGTGCAGTCATATTCGTTGTGTTCCCACTAGTGCTGTCAGCGTAAATCTCGTTGAAATGACGTTAACGCCACAACACGGCAAATCTCCGTTAACGAGCTACCGCGGATCGCCCTGAGCGTGGGGCTGGACGGCCAACACGTTAACGAGCTAACTGCGCTAACACACTAGCTCCCACCCATGTAATTGAGCATTGCGTGGCACATCCAACATACTGTTTTACTTTAGTCCATGACGCGCTTACCTTCAGGGTCATACGTCACATGAAAACCAAGATGGTTCCAAAGGCCAGATCTGAATGAGGGTGGGGAGGTTCAATTTGCCATGTTGCAACGAGCTTAGCTTCTGTCAATACAACATTTTTAATTTATTTTATCAACTTTTCTTCTGAGGATGCTGTCTGTGTTGAGCGCTCAGTGGATCTGCGCTCGACAGTGCAGCCTAGGCGGAGTAGTCGAACACAGATCCACTGAGTGCTCAACACAGACAGCATCGTCAGAAGGAAAGTTGATAAAATAAATTAAAAATGTTGTATTGTTCGATACATATGCGTACCGAACCTAAAGCACTGTATCGAACGGTTCAATATCGATATGAGTATCGTTGCACTCCTAGTCTTTACAATAAAAGGCACCTCGGGGTTGCTGTTGTTGTGATTTGGTGCCATATAAATAAAATAAAATTAGATGGTTAACCTGTACTCAACCAATTGGTTACCATGACTACTTTGTCAGTCACCAAACACAAAGACATTCAGCGCTATCACTGCATCCACAGATTGTTCCTCAGTCGCATTGTTCCAGTGCGACTGAGGAATAAATGGATGCAAACTGTGATTGAAGTGAGTAATGATGGCCTGTGCTGGTTTACATCGAGGGACACGATTGGTTCTTCATCTGCTAAATGCAACACTGTTTACACCAGATCTGCTGTGCACATCTGATCATTGGTCCGTTAATGAAGTCACTGTGTAAAAGAAGACTGCTTGTACTTTTTTGTTGTTAGTTTGTAAGCATTTATTCATCTTATAACCTCTGATGGACAATCAGAGAAGGATGTGCTTGAGGATCCGCTGGGCTAACTAAGGATGATTGTTAATATGTTAGAGTAAGAAATTAGCCATTTCAGCTATCCTATGTTACAGTGGGGCAAAAAAGTATTTAGTCAGCCACCGATTGTGCAAGTTCCCCCACTTAAAATGATGACAGAGGTCAGTAATTTGCACCAGAGGTACACTTCAACTGTGAGAGACAGAATGTGGGGAAAAAAAATCCATGAATCCACATGGTAGGATTTGTAAAGAATTTATTGGTAAATCAGGGTGGAAAATAAGTATTTGGTCACCTCAAACAAGGAAAATCTCTGGCTCTCAAAGACCTGTAACGTCTTCTGTAAGAAGCTTTTCTGTCCCCCACTCGTTACCTGTATGAATGGCACCTGTTTGAACTCATCATCTGTATAAAAGACACCTGTCCACAGCCTCAAACAGTCAGACTCCAAACTCCGCCATGGCCAAGACCAAAGAGCTTTCGAAGGACACCAGGAAAAGTATTGTAGACCTGCACCAGACTGGGAAGAGTGAATCTACAATAGGCAAGCAGCTTGGTGTGAAAAAATCAACTGTGGGAGCAATCATCAGAAAATGGAAGACATACAAGACCACTGATAATCTCCCTCGATCTGGGGCTCCACGCAAGATCTCATCCCGTGGGGTCAAAATGATCATGAGAACGGTGAGCAAAGATCCCAGAACCACACGGGGGGACCTGGTGAATGACCTGCAGAGAGCTGGGACCAAAGTAACAAAGGTCAACATCAGTAACACACTACAACGGCAGGGAATCAAATCCCGCAGTGCCAGACGTGTTCCGCTGCTGAAGCCAGTGCATGTCCAGGCCCGTCTGAAGTTTGCCAGAGAGCACATGGATGATACAGCAGAGGATTGGGAGAATGTCATGTGGTCAGATGAAACCAAAGTAGAACTTTTTGGTATAAACTCAACTCGTCGTGTTTGGAGGAAGAAGAATACTGAGTTGCATCCCAAGAACACCATACCTACTGTGAAGCATGGGGGTGGAAACATCATGCTATGGGGCTGTTTTTCTGCCAAGGGGACAGGACGACTGATCCGTGTTAAGGACAGAATGAATGGGGCCATGTATCGTGAGATTTTGAGCCAAAACCTCCTTCCATCAGTGAGAACTTTGAAGATGAAACGAGGCTGGGTCTTCCAACATGACAATGATCCAAAACACACCGCCCGGGCAACAAAGGAGTGGCTCCGTAAGAAGCATTTGAAAGTCCTGGAGTGGCCTAGCCAGTCTCCAGACCTCAACCCCATAGAAAATCTGTGGCGGGAGTTGAAAGTCCGTGTTGCTCGGCGACAGCCCCAAAACATCACTGCTCTCGAGAAGATCTGCATGGAGGAATGGGCTAAAATACCAGCTACTGTGTGTGCAAACCTGGTAAAGACCTATAGTAAACGTTTGACCTCTGTTATTGCCAACAAAGGTTATGTTACAAAGTATTGAGTTGTATTTTTGGTATTGACCAAATACTTATTTTCCACCCTGATTTACCAATAAATTCTTTACAAATCCTACCATGTGGATTCATGGATATTTTTTTTTTCACATTCTGTCTCTCACAGTTGAAGTGTACCTCTGGTGCAAATTACTGACCTCTGTCATCATTTTAGGTGGGGGAACTTGCACAATCGGTGGCTGACTAAATACTTTTTTGCCCCACTGTAGCTAATTAAACGAGTAAAACCATCTGATCTTTCAGTAAGCTTAAAGTCTTCTGATGCAGCCTTTGTCCAGCCAGTGCCGAAGGCTTCAACAGTTTAGACGCTCAAACAGCCAAGAAAGGGTTAAAGTGCAATTCCACCATCAACTTCTTTGTAAAGAAATGTTTAATGATTCAGTTGTTCATCATTAACTCACTCCTCTTTAGTTCCTTTGTCATCGACAGAAACACTGTCAGTTTTTGTCCTCAAAGTTCGGCTTCATAACAAAGCTGATAACTGGCAGGAACAAACTTAAAACCTATTCAGTGTGAGTGAACAGTTACACACAAACGCTCTGTGTGGAGCAGACATAAAGCAGTGATGTGCAGAGAGAGAGAGGGATGGTGGTCAGTTAGTGAGCCATGAATAATTGAATGTGCTTAATGGGAAGGGATATAAAAACTGAAACTGTTTGGCCGCGCTGCAATAGAGACCAGAAGGCTGAGCGCTCGTGTGTGAGCATGTAGAGCTGTTCTTCTGAGGACCGGTTTCACTGTTAGACCGTCAGTGTGGATGTTGTTGGTTCCCACATGCCTTCAGGCTGTGTGAGGGTAAAGCCTTGGCTTAGGGTTAGGTTTAGGATCAGCTCTGCGTTTGGGTGGGAATTATGCAGTTAGTGGTCATTTTTAAGGTTGGAGGAAGAAGCTCCATGATGCCAGTAGATCAGGGAACACGTTCACAAAGCAGCCATGCAAACAAGGACGTTGGCTGTGATGGTGCAGTCCTTATGGCTTCTAAAGCACAGCAGTGACCCTAAGATCAATCTAGTATGAAGTGTTTAAAGTGCCATTACCCACAAATGCATTCAGATAATTTCAGTTTTCTGTGAAGACATTTTGTTTTCCTCTCTGTGCTGATTAGTGTGTTTAGCAGTTTGGTGTCATTAAACAGTCCAGTTGGTTAGTGACCGTGGTCACAGCAACAGTCTCAAAGACACCTCACTCGCAGACCTACAGATGGAGCTTCTTTTTAATGTGAGGCAGCAGCACCTCGCTGGCCTTTTTAATGTCCCGCCTTTTTGAATTACCTTGAAACTAATCGTTTCCATCATTAGGGGTGTGTCCACCTTAACTGACAGGTGGACACCATCGCTCTTAATTGGAGTTATTGGAATGCAGTTTTTGTCCTGTCAGGTGATTTATTTATTTATTTATTTTATTTTTTTTTATTTTTTTCTAAATAAATAATAATTTCCAAGGATCAGAAACAAATATAGTCAGCTGGTCATTTTTCCCACAGCCCTGCAGGGACACGATACCTTCACCGAACAAGATTCACATGTCTAACAAACAGCTTTCCAGTTCCTTTTATCAATTTTTTATTAATGATTTTCACTAATTTAAAGCTGCTATGATACCTTTTTTGGTTTTATGACACACTGTGAGACATAAAAGACGAGTACTTTGCTGTGTATTGTTGTAAACTTATATTGTTGTATAAGCCTTCAGTTTCAAGCAGCCCCTGAAAGCCTGAAATTAAGACTGAAGTGATATACGCTGCAGATGGTAATATCAGTTTACTCAGCAGCATTATCTTTTGTTTCCTCCCACTGTTATCAACACACTGTTCTCAGTTTTTAAGCTTAGTGATTGGCTGTTTCTTCCTGAAATTTGTTGCTTATAACCAAACTGTGGAAGCTTGTGCCGTTCGAGCATGTTGTGTTTGTGTGTTTAAATGTTGCTCTGATGCACAAAAAGAACAACGTAGAAGGTTAGCAGAAGATCTGAAGCTGAGTGAAATGGAAGGAACGAGGTGGATAAAGACAGATGAGCGATAGCGATAGTGTAGGAGGAGAGGCCGATGGTGTGTGTGATCATTTTTCGTGTCTCTCACGACCGAGACGGAGCATGTCATTGGTATTTATGGGCTGAGAGACCTCACACTCTTTGCAACTGTTCTGTCAGAGAGCAGGAAGGGCCGGAGATTTGAAAAGACAACAGATGGAGGAAAAGCATGGAGAAAAGAAAGATCAGGTAGAGAGCAGCGAAAGGAGGAAGCAAGAGAGAAGAGGGGTAATGATGAAAGGCGGACCAGAGAGCAGGTGATGAAAGAAGGGCAAGAAACGACTGAGAGCATCAATGCTGGTGTTTCCTGCTGACTCTGCTTCTTATATGCCTTTTCCCTTCTCTTCTTCTTTTACATGTAACGGCTGCATGACTGGAAGAAGGATCCAGAAGTGCCATCCAGCTGGATTATGGTGATGACGGTGAAACCGAAATGTCTCGCAGCGTTCGGGAAGAACACCAATATTTAACATGACCTTTGACCTTTACCTATCACCTCCTGTGACAGAGCAACTGCAGGAAGACAGGCTGAGGCCTGCTGGTGAGTCCATGGACCAGGAGGAGGTGAAGCTCTGCTCTTCCATGCTCATTAGAAGATGATTTTCGACTGACGTTACACTTTTTGATTTGCTGAGCTTTGAGTTGCGAACTTCGGTCCCAGGTCATATTAATGATGGCGAGTGTCTGAACTGAGCTAGCATAACCATCTGCTGACTGTGAGATTTGGAAAATCAGCACATGGCTTCTGACCCCAGGATTATGAGACTCTGCAGGGAAGCCGATGCTTAGTCAACTCACAGTTCACGGCTCCAGTGGACCGTTGGTGGAAAAAATGACTAGTTTCACAAGATCTCAATAGACTGGAGTCAGCAATGATAACATGCAATATCTTTAATAGAGAGGGGCAAGCAAATCCCCCGTCAGCTGTGCTTTCCACACCTGCTTCTGGGAAACTGATGTTCTGATGTGCTGTATGGAGTGCAGAGTCCGGATTCAACTGATTCATTGAAAAACAGGAAGTTTAACGGACCGTTCTGACTGTCGGCGAGACAAGGCAATCTCGCACTCTAACCCGATCGTTCTGGTTTTAACTGTCATGGGTCTGAACCCCGGCAGGAGTACCTGACCGAACCAGGGAATGGTCGGCAGCTCAATAAAACTCTGTGTTTGGAGCACGCGAGGGCGAGGTCCATCTTGATCTCTGATTCAGAACTCGAAGAAGAAAAAGTCCTCTCCCCCCCACTTACCTCTGGTGGGGGGGAGGGTGAAGGGTACTTTTGTTTTAAGGTTTAGGATTTATTTTTCACACAGTAGGCTTTAGGCTGTAGAGTTGGGCGACTCTGCTCTGCGTAACTTCAGATCCGGTCCAAGTTCTTCTTTGCGTTCGGCCAGTTTGAGGGAGTTGTATCCTCGGCCCTGTGGCTTATTTGTGTCACCACTCTTTGAGTTAGCCTTTGGCTCTGCACTAGCAGTAGCTGTGACTCAGGCAGCATTTCATCCGGTGCGGAAGTTTAGCATTTAGACTCAGTGCTGCCTTGAATTGTATTACCTGGATCTAAACAACTGTGACAGCATTTAGGCTAAAAGTGACCGTTGTCCACTGGGCATTTCCATAGCCGTTTTTCTTTTTTGTTTTGTTAGCCTGAGGTTTCCTAGCCATTAGCTTGAGTGCTACCTTTCAGACCTATTAGTCATGGATGCTAATCAGGGCCCAGGCCAGGGCAGTCCAGAAAGCCCTAACCGGGCCGTGGAGTATCTTCTTGAACTCAACAACATCATTGAAAGCCAGCAGAAACTTTTAGAAACGCAGCGGCGCCGAATTGAGGAGTTGGAGGTCCAGCTGGACCGGCTCAGCCAAGAGAACAAGGACCTCCGTTTGGACCGGCAGCCCGTCGCTCCTCCCCCACCTGCGCCTCCTCCCGAGCCTCCTCTCCCTCCTCCTCCGCCACCACCGCCGCCGGCTCAGACCACATCGGCTTCCATTTCCACAAAGAATCACCATCACCACAACAGCCAGCACCAGGCTCCGGCACAGCCTCCCTGCTCCATCCCCCTCCACCACCAGCATCATCAGGTGCACCACCACTCCTCCACCCACCACTCCCACTCCTATAATAGCACCAACAGCACTGCTCCGACTCCAATTCCAGTTCCCTCTCCAACCTGCGCCCCAACACCTCACTCTGTACTGACCCAAATTTCAGCTCCGATCTCCTCTTCAGCCCCGGCTGCTCCTCCCCCACCTCCGATTCCACCCAGGGATCAGCCGCGAGCCCACAGCCGGCTGACTCGCATGCCCTCCACCAGCACTGGCACCAACACCAACTTCGTGGAGAAAGAGAAGGAAAGGCTGGAGCGCCTGCATAGAGCCAACGCTGCCAACAACCATCACGCCCACACCCTCCACCACCACAAATTGTAAGTTCCACTGTATTTTTACTACAAGCAGGGCCAAAGGTAGTACGAGAAGATGGCAAACCAGGCAAAGAGCTGACGGTAAAATGGTGAAAAGTGCCTTGTAGTTCTTGAGATTCCTTTCATTTCATGGGGAAAAATAAGGGATGCCATATTGCCACAGTTATCCTGAGGGGGTGCACCTCCCCCAGCACATCTCTTTGTGTCTGTACAGATCACCTTTTGCCTTTTCTTTGTGTAATAAATGCTTTCAAATCTTGCAGTAAAAATCTTTTAACTACTAGGGAACACGTATTGCACATATGTTTTTATAATATGGCATCCTATCACTAAATTTTCAAACGTAACCTTGGCTTGAAGCCCGTCACTACATTGTCTGCTTTGCCAAAACTCGTGTAAATCTTTGGCTTTGATCGCTACTAACTTTGCTGCTTCTCTCACTCAGGTTTTGTGCAAGCGCTCTTGCTTAGTCTGACCAGGAAACATCTGTTTTGCTTGATTCCTTGCTGGTGCAGATATGCGAGCAAGCTGAACAGGGTTTACTTTAAAGGACTCAAACAAGTCGGAGAGGTGAAGTTTGCCACTCGAGTGTTCCCTCCTCCAAACCAGAGAGGTTTGTGAGACAGTGTGATTGGTGGGTGTACCGGACTGATAAACATTCATCCTTTTATCAGCTAATAGAGCTGCAGAGTGAAAATTTTATAAATTGCAGACAAGCGGGAGCGTGTGGGACTCGAGGGACAGATGAACTAAACAGCTACAAATCTCAAACACTGATAATTGGTGGAGCGACGACTCGAAAGCATTATGCAACCGATACTTTTGGAATAGGAGCGGTTGTTTGCTGAGAGGCCAGAAAGAAAACACTGTGTACTGTACTGATCACCATGGTAGCTTCCTCTTTTGATTTGTGCTCATATTTTGTTTTAATTTTGTCACCCTGAAGTTGTTTTTCGTTGGCTTGGATCGGCTTTGTTGCCTGGCAACACTGTCTTGCGCGCATCATATCAGGAAGTGTTGAATGACTGCTCCTCGCTGCCGTCTGTGACTTTCGTCTCCGGTGCCGTAGGCAACAGGATGCGGGCTTGCGGCTGTCCCGTGTGTCCATCGGGCACTTCCTTCGTAGCTGGTAACGCCGAAGCATTGGAAGTGCTGGCCATGGTGATCTCTGTTGCTATGCAACTGTGGAAAACCTATTTGAAGGACAGCACTCTGGCTAACAGTTGAATGGTTTTCACCTCGCTCAGAGGAACATGGAGCATCGCCTTCTTCCCTCTGCAAGCACAGAGCAGCTGCAGGAGCGAGGCTCCCGTTAGACCTGCAGATATGAGGCTGGGGAAACGCAGTGATGACTCATGGAGAAAGATTTTATAGTACTATAGCTTTGTCTTATAAGCTCTCGTACGTGCAGCCATTGCACACAGAGGTTGATAGAGGGTGAGTCAGACTCTCAGATATGGGTTCGTGTAATTAATCAAAGTGCAGGGAAGAAAAAAATCCTTCTGAGCCCTGAGTCATGGGACGTTCAGGTGCAGCCGAAATTGTGAGAAAAAGCCGACCTCAAGCTTGCAAATGATGTAACATGTGCAGAACAATGATGAAGTCTGACAGCAGCGGAGATAAGGCTGATTCGTTATGAAATCGCACAGCACAATCTGCTGCTCGCTGCCTCTTCGACTGACTGAGTGCGATCCAATAAATCCCACACTACACTGGGGTAGATTATGGCACAGAGGCATGACAGCATGTTGCAGAGCTGCCTACACTGGTTTCTGAGCGATTTCATTTAGGGCATGATGCAGCAAACTGCAAAACACCCTCACACAGATTAATCCTGCAGCACCTTGGGCTGAAGCGGGGAGAAACACGAGCCACACTAGGAAGCAGTAAATACTGCACAACATGACGAAGCAGTTGAAATGTTTCAACTGATGAGAGCCCGACTACATGCAGCAACTTCTACATGTCGGTGTCAATTTTCATTTACGGTACTGCCAACAAATCTATCCACAATGTGTCCTTGCTCCAAGATCAAACACCTGCACGTCGACAGAAACGTACAGATCCAAGAATGTCCGAAGTGTAAGTTGCATCAGTTATTTATCAGTTGGTTTGCACAGCCATACTAAGACAAAAATAAACCTCACCACAGCACATCACAGTTGGGCAACTGGAGAAATGGACCATTGATTGATCAAGTGCATCACCACTTGGTTTTTTGTTCTCAAGCCTGGTTTATGTGGTTCTTCTGCAGAGCTGAGAGCCCAATGTTATCGTGTTGAGCAAAAGTCAGGAGCCGGGCTTAACTGTACCTCTGCTGGGACATATTAGCTAATTGTTCTAGTATTTTATGCAAAGGAAGCATCAGCAAACCCCATTTGTTGGGCTAATGAGGCAGATTGGAAAACCTAATGCCTATTTGGCAGTACAAAAATAGTCAGCTGCACAGAGTTTGAGAGAACCTTGAATGGTTTTTATTAAAGATTGCTGAGGATTCTGTGAACTCATCATCTTCTAGTGCTGCATGAAGCGGTGGCCCCAAACATCTGTTCACATCTGGGCAGGGCCCGTATCTGAAGAAAAAGGCATGCACTTTGTAACTGCTTGGTTTACCCCTGGAGTACAGTATGCACGGTTGTACGTTCTCAAATAAATGGAAAGACAATCTCGGCTGATGGTGATGTTTTATTTTCTGTGCATTAAGTAAAGCTAAGTATTAAGTAATATCAGTTGCCAGAGCTCACGCGATGAACTGTGAGGAGGCCGTAACCGTAATCAGTGCTGTTCCATCCCATTGATCCACGAGGGAAGACTGATGGAGGACGGTTATGGTAATGAACAGAGAGAGAGATGTTGTTTCTGCAGTGTGGGTGTGGAGGAGTCACAGGAGTCAGATCTGTAGGATTCACATGGATGAAGAGAGGAGAAAGAAAAGAAACATAAAATGAAACGTGGATGTATCATCCTGTTCCCTTCTTTATTTAAAGATCTTTTGTTCTTGCTTTCTGGCCCACCTCGTTCTGCTATTAACCTGAGAATTGTACCTGGCTGATCTGGATGCTGACATGTGATTATGGGACTACTGCATATAAAGCCTAGTTTTAATGGGAGTCCTAATTGCCTCCGTTCTGCCTACATTGTGATCAGATCTTGTTATCTAAATTGAGTAGGAAGAGCTAGCAGATGCACCGACAAACAATTGTTCGTCTCAGGTCAACGCAGTTTTTTTTCAAGGGCCACCGAGGAGCTTCTTTTTTTTTTTCTGCCTGTCCCATTTGGGTCTTTAGCTGTCAGAATTGTTGTCTGAAGACCAACAAGGATACCCAATGGATTTACTTTGCCAAATGGATCATCGTGGCATTGCCGTATTGGTCCATTTGATCGACCTTTGTTTTTATTATTTATTAGACATTAGTGAGGGATAGGAAAGGGAGAGAGAAAGAGGAAGGGAAAGAAAAACAGAAGGGGAGAGGGACAGTGAGAAAGGGGGGGGAGAAAAAAAATCTCCTGGATCACCTGTTGAGAGAAGAAGAATAGAAAACAACCAAAGCAACATACTAAACACAACACCATCGCATTAATCTAGCTAAGTGTAAACAGCAGTAAATACTAAATATTCAATGTTGTTGTGCAGCACGCAGGACCGACAGCGCACAATGTGCTTTGAAGTAGCAGCCAAGAAAGGTGTAATTTAAGTCTACGAGCAGTGAACACGCGTGTGCACACCTGTGTGGATCAGCGCTTGTATTCAAATGGTTTCCACATGTGATGGTCTGCTAGAGGATGTAGCGAGCCATAGCCCCGTCCCCCAGGGCATGAAGCAGGCATGGAGGAGATCCAGGCCCCAGACATCCAGAGGCCCCAGAGTGCGAGAGCCCAAGGAGGACCACCGGAGGGGCATCGTGCCACCCTCATGGGAAGAGCTGAGGATCCCCAGACGAGGCGTCACCCAGGAGCCACCGAGCAGAAGCTAGAGGGACCTGCACCGGCGTGCCCGCCGGCTCTGCCAGCAGCCAGCTGTGCCAGAGTGAACCGAGCCGCGGGCCCAGAGGCCGGAGCAACAGGCGCCAGGCCCCGCCAAGTAGCCACCGGGAGTGAGCTGGTACATACCTGAGCGCCCTGCCTCGGACACCAAGAACCACCAACGCACCGACCCCTGAGGGCATCAGTCACCGGCAGGGAGTGTGGTGAGGGGAGACAGGCCTTGGAGGGCCTGGGAGTTCCCAGAGAGGTGGAGTCTAAGACCCAACCTGACATATAGACACAGACAAACAGGCAGACACAGACACAAACATGCATTCCCACCCTCATGCACACATATACAAACACTCAGCACTCACCCAACGTAAGGATTGACATAAATGGACATGTACACACAATCACACTCCCCAAACATACTCTATACCCCGGGTCCAGGTACCCTCGCCCCCAGAGGGGGAAACAGAACCCAGACCCAAGAGATGTTACCCTTCCCCCCGGGGTGGAGGCAAGCAGACCGTCCCAGGCTCCGCAGCATCAGGGAGGCCAATCGGACAGCTAACATCTCCTCCCAGCCCCCCCGCCCCGATGACTAGCAGAGAACGGGGGTGTGTGAAGACCCCATACCTCCCTCCTCCCGCTCATGTGTAGTGTTGCTGCGTGTTGCTCTAAAGTGCATTTAAAACAGGGGAGAGCATGGTGCTGCTGCCAGAGAGCAGCAGGTGTTAGCACGGCCCCTCCCGAGAACCCTCAATGTCTACATGGATTTAAAATTGAGAGGTGGGCACCAGAGGTAGGTTTGAGTACACAGACCGTCCACTGGACGCCGTTAACGTGCCCACCCTCAAGGCCCTATATATATGTGTGTGTTATGAGAATGTAAGTAATGTGAATGTTTAAGTTGTGAGATAAAATTGAGGCACAGGTGGCCAGAAGGGGACAGAGGGGGGGAGATGTCTCCCCTGCACCCTTGTGACACACCCGCACCCCAAGGCCCTACCTGTGTGGGTGAGTGTGGTGGAGCG